TTGGGGGGGCTCCTTTTGGGACCCTTGTGGGGATGTGCTGCTCCGGGGGGGCCCGGGAGGGGGGTGGGAGCCCCCCCAAAACCCCCCCGGGGGGGTGTTAATGCCTCTGGGGGTGCTGTCAGTAATTAGGGGGGCCCTCATTAGCGTAATTAATCCCATTCAGCTCTCGGTGGTGGAGTACGACCCCGGCACCCACGACCTGAAGACCCTCTCCCTGCACTACTTCGAGGAGCCCGAGCTCAGGGTGGGTTTTGGGGGTCCCCCCCCATCCTGGGGAGGGGGTGTGGGGTGGATTTTGGGGTTCCCCCCACTCTGGGGGGTGTGTGAGTGGATTTTGGGGTCCCCCCCACTCTGGGGGGTGTGTGGGTGAATTTTGGGGTCCCCCAATGCTCTGTGTCCCCCCAGGATGGGTCTGGCCAGGATGTCTGAACCCCCTGGGTGTGGGGGGTTCCTGGGGGGGTGTGGGGGTGGATTTTGGGGTCCCCCCCCACTCTGGGGGATGTGGGGGTAAATTTTGGGGTCCCCTGACCCTCTGTGCCCCCCGTGTCCCCCCAGGATGGATCTGTCCAGGATGTCTGAACCCCCTGGGTGTGGGGGTGTCTTGGGGGGTGTGTGAGTGGATTTTAGGGTCCCCCCCATTCTGGGGAGGGGGTGTGGGGGTGGATTTTGGGGTCCCCTGACCCTCTGTACCCCCCATGTCCCCCGAGGATGGGTCTGGCCAGGTTGTTTGTACCCCCTGGGTGTGGGGGGGTCCTGGGGGGTGTGGGGGTGGATTTTGGGGTCCCCCCCACTCTGGGGAGGGGGTTTGGGGTGGGTTTTGGGGTCCCCCCTTCTCTGTGCCCCCCGTGTCCCCCCAGGATGGGTCTGGCCAGGATGTCTGTACCCCCTGGGTGTGGGTGGGTTTTGGGGTGTGTGGGTGGATTTTGGGGTCCCCCAACGCTCTGTGTCCCCCCAGGATGGTTTGTGCAGAACATGCACACCCCCCATGTGTGTGTGTGTGATTTTGGGGTCCCCCAATGACCTGTACCCCCCTGTGCCCCCCAGGATGGTTTGTGCAGAACCTGCACACCCCCCTGGTTGCAGGTGGGGGATTTTGGGGGTGTGTGGGTGGATTTTGGGGGTCCCCCAGTGATCTGTGTCCCCCCAGGATGGGTCTGTCCAGAATGTCCACACCCCCTGGGTGCAGGTGGGGGATTTTGGGGGTCCCCTGACCCTCTGTGCCCCCCATGTCCCCCCAGGATGGTTTGTGCAGAACGTGCACACCCCCTGGTTGCTGGTGGGGGATTTTGGGGGGTGTGGGTGGATTTTGGGGTCCCCCAATGCTCTGTGTCCCCCCAGGATGGGTCTGTCCAGAATGTCCACACCCTCTGGGTGCAGGTGTGGGATTTTGGGGGTCCCCTGACCCTCTGTACCCCCTGTGTCCCCCCAGGATGGGTCTGGTCAAAATGTCTGTACCCCCTGAGTGTGGGGGGTCCTGGGGGTGTGTGGGTGGATTTTGGGGTCCCCCAACGCTCTGTGTCCCCCCGGGATGGGTCTGGCCAGGATGTCTGTACCCCCTGGGTGTGGGTGGGTTTTGGGGGGTGTGGGGGTGAATTTTGGGGTCCCCCAATGCTCTGTGTCCCCCCAGGATGGTTTGTGCAGAACATGCACACCCCCCATGTGTGTGTGTGGGATTTTGGGGTCCCCCAATGACCTGTACCCCCCGTTTCCCCCCAGGACGGCTTCGTGCAGAACCTGCACACCCCCCAGTTGCGAGTGGGGGATTTTAGGGGTGTGTGGGTGGATTTTGGGGTCCCCCCAACGCTCTGTGTCCCCCCAGGATGGTTTGTGCAGAATGTGCACACCCCCCATGTGTGTGGGGTGGATTTTGGGGTCCCCCAATGACCTGTACCCCCCATTTCCCCCCAGGATGGTTTGTGCAGAAC